TCAACTAGCGTTGTTGGGCGGAATCAGAGGCTGCTCGGAGGGCTCCGTGCGAGGCTGGCGGACATACTGCGGGTCCGGCCAGTGCCAAGCAAACTTTCGCATATGCCACCACATGACGAGGCAGTGCCCCGTCAAGCCCGCCGCTGGGATCGCAAGCCACATCATGACATGCGTACCATGACGGACGAACGCAAGAAACATCTGGTCTAAGGCCCACGCCGCCATCCCAACCATCATCGCTTCAGCAGGCCTGACCATTGAAAGCGGGAAGGTGTAGAAGAAGTCCTTCGTCGCTTTTGGCGGCGTCAAGCTGAGCCATAAAACAACGCAAGTGGTGAACGCCACGGCGTGGACGCAGCACATGAAGGACACGCAGCTCAGGACGACGTGGATCTCGCTGCACGCAATCCTGTCGCAGTCAAGCCAGTCCCCGTCGAAGTCCATCTCCTCGTCCACCTTCTCGCTCATCTTGTCCATGGTCAGCACGAGGGCGGCCACCACGCCGACCGTCGCGAAGGCGCTGATCATCTCTTCGCGCACCTTCTCAACATCTCCCTCTTGGGTCTGCTCCAGCAAGTGGTGAATGGCAGGCATTGCAACGATAGGGTTCTTGGCCTGCTGCGGGCAAGGGGGAGGCTTTTGCGGTCGACCTCGAAATCGCTTGAGCCCAAGCCCTGGATTTCCTTGTGTGCTCTGACCTCCTGGCCTGCGGTCATCGTTCGGGTTGCAGCGGGCCCTGAGAATTGTGTCTCAGATCCTGTGATGGCATCTCACCTAAGGCAACGCATCGATCATGCCACGTTCACCATGCGACCCAATGCAGTAATAGTGAACTACTGCAACATCAGACTGAGCGTCTCCAACTGTCGTTTTCCCTCTTGGCCATTAGGGAGCACGCCACGCCGGCAAACTGCGACGACATGAAGTAGTCGAGCTGGAACCTAATGCACGCGGTCTCTTAGGAAGCGGATTGGTGGGAGCGTTTCCTTACGCCACGAAGCCGCTGGTGGCTCGCCTTCGCATTGCAACCATGCATTGTGCGCACATGTCCCAATTTGATCACCTTTGCTCATGTGGGACTGCACGGGCAGCTCTGCCTGGGTGCGCCCTTACTGCTCACCTGGCGCTTTCCATGCGGTTGGAGTCGACGTCTTGCGAGTGCCAACTAAGGCCGAGGCGCCACCTTCGCAAGACTACCTTGGCTCCAATGAGTACGGCTGGATAGGCGCATAATGTGCGCCACGCCCGTTCTGAGAAGTAGGAACCCGAAAAGCGCCCAAGACGCGCGCACACACACACACGCATAGTCCAGAGCTGAGGGAAGACATGCGAAACGGGTCTCCACCACCACCGAAGAGTCACAAGCGCCATGGAAATTAGAAGAGGCCGGCACGCATGAGCAAACACACATACCGTTACCAACAACATCAGCGAACGTCGGCGAAGCCAGGGGAGCGAAGCCTTCTGTCGAGGACCCTGTATCGTCCTCTGAAATCTGGAGGCGCACGCAAGAACGGCCTGGGGCCATCCAAGCCTGACGCTACTGAATTCCGCGAGCGGACTTTGACTTTATTTCTACACTTTTCGCGCAAATGTTGCGGAGTATTGGGGAGATCTGGACCTATGCTTGAAAACAAATCATAAGTTTAAAGAAGATGTGCGGAAAATCACAGAAAGCACGAAGTACATGCAGGTGGGCGGCGAGCGGAGCTGATCAGCCCCGGAGAGGCGACCGCGGGGCGTGCGCGGAGTGCGGAATACATGCCCACACGGCGCTAGGGAATTTCGCGCGCGGACTCTTTGCGCGCGTCTTTCCCAGGATTGTCGCTCGAATTGTAGGGAGTATTGAGGAGTATTGCGGAGATTCGGACCTATGCTTGAAATCAGTACAGAAGTTTTGCGGAGTGTTGCGGAGAACGGCGATACACACACACACACACAAAAAAAAAAAAACACGTAACAGTTCACAACAAACGCAGCATGTTCCGTGCGTGAAGTTCCCTACAGGGCGCTCGGGCCTTGTGCAGCCGAGCGCGGGGCGTGACATTTTGCGGAGGGCCCAAGCTGAAACGTCACCACAGCGCCTGGGGTCTGAAGGGAGGAGCAGGGCAGCTCGCGGGCCGAGCGGAGACGGCGGCGCGCGCCTGGCCCTTGACTCTCACTCGGCGCGTCCCGGTACGGTACACTGCGGTGTACTCAGGTCAAGTCGCACACGGTGTCTTGAAGCGAAATCCCGTAGCACAAGCACTTTATGCAAGATGATTCTGTGCATGTCGTAAACGGGATTGAATTACTCCTGCGTCGTATGCATGTGCCACGTGTAGTAGATGGCGTGATACGGTATCCTGCAATGATGGATTACTGTTGAAGAGAGTCAACATGGCAATAGATGGCCAGATCTTTCAAACCTATTGACTGGTCGGCGCCCGAACACCAAATTGGGTATCCATCGATCTGTGGCATTTCGGGTATCGGCTCGGATGTTGGGTGTATTTGGGCACTGGTGGAATTGATTTGATGCGCAGTGTGTTTGGCACTCCGTGGAGGAGGGGTATTTGCAAGCGCTCCGACCCTATCGATTCACAGCGTGGTAGGCATCGGTACCAATCACATCTTGGATGTTTGGGCCGTTGGGCACTCGTTTGTTTCCTGGATTCGGGGCTGCTGCCTCACTTTGGGCATTGGGCATCGGCGTTTTGGTTGTTTCCACTTCTGGACAACATCAAGGGGCACAAGGACACACAAACAAATGCACACAAATAAAATGATGCCCCATATGTTCCCATATGTTATGTTCTGGGTTTCTGTCTTCCCCCCTGCTTCCCATAGTTTCCCATAGTTCCCTTGGAATCGACGATTAATTGTGTCTGTGTGTTTTTTCCCCTCCTGATTGTTTCCATTTCTGATTGTTTCCATTTCTGGACTGTTTCCATTCCTGATTCCCCTCCTGATTGCTTCCATTTCTGGACAGTATCCCCTCCTGATTAATTGTGTCTGTGTGTTTTTTCCCCTCCTGACTGTTTCCATTTCTGGACAGTATCCTGCACGACGGCTCCAGGGCCGCGCAGGAGGCCCCAGGAGGGCTCAGGAGGGTACCGACGAGGCACCGACAGGACATCGACAGATTCGCTCGGCTTCGTGGGAAAGAGACACACAAAAACACACACAAAAACACACACAGACACACGCATACACACACACACACACACACACACACACACACACACGCATACACACACACACACACACACACACGCATACACACACATACACACACAAACACACACACACACACAAAAACACACACACACACACAGTGGGACAAAAAGCACAGTGTGTGTTTTGTCCGAGAGGACATCGACAGATTCACTCGGTTTCCTGGGGCCCTCCTGGGGGCGCACCTGGAGGCCTCCAGGGCGCCTACCTTGGCTGCGGCAGTATGCAGCAGCACATGGCCAGATCTCCGAGCCCATGGGAATGATAGCGAGTTGTTTTGAATTGTACTTGGGATCTGCGCTGCGACGCGTGCCTGACTCGCGCATGAGACTCTTGGGGTTTCGGTGAACTCGGGTACCCCCGTCGATGTCACGCAATTCGTGTATCATGAAAAGGCCTGTTCCAATGGCTTGAGGGCGCGCCGATACGAACTGTTGCTTGCCAAGGGTCTGCGGGGGTCCCTTCCAGCACCGGGCTCACGCTCCCTTGCCAATGTGGACTGTTGCGTATCTGGTGGCTGTGGCGGAGATGCAGACGCGCGAGCGCGCGCGTACGCCGCGCAGCGGCGGCGGAAGCGCGGGCCGCAGAATTGCGGCGCTTTGGTGGCGGAGGCGGAGGAGAGCTGGACTGCCAAGTCGGATGCTAGCGAATATGAGCAGGTTCGGTGCCAACGCCAACGTGTACAGAAGCCGGCATGACTGCTGCTTACCGGTGTGTTCGGTGCAAGCCCTCCATAGGAAATCAACACACACACAGGCAGGGCTCCCGTGCACAAAGCAGGCCCGCGAAGATGCGCGCAAGTGTGCGCAGACTCGCCTTCGACGTGCAAACCCTGAAATCGCGAGGGATGCCCAAGATGTCCGCACCGCACGCTGGGTTCATTCCGTGGGGGCCGACGCCTTCCTGGAAAGCGGAGGGTGGCACGCTCGCCGCTACTGCCATGCAGCACGATGGAGCGCACTCCTCCCCGGGATTCAAAGGCACACAAAAGGCGGTCGGTATCAAACATGGTACATCCTGGAAATGTTGCGCAAAACTTGTCAAGTTCGCGCACAACTTGGAAGAGTTGCGATTGCTGGGTCGCAGGCGATTGATTTTCGCAGGCGCACTGCGGTGCTTACGGGCATGTTGCGGCACCCCAAGCGCACCCCCGCCGTGGCGTGACCGGCACGGCGTACCCCCCCCCCCACCCCCCCCGGTCACGCGCGTGACCGGCCCGAATAAACGAACGGGCTCCAGGGGCGGCGCCGGAAGCGCCGCCAGGGGGGCCCAACGCCGATCCCAGAAATGCGCAGTGTCTCATTCCTCGATCCTAAACGTCTGCGGCACCGCACCCCCCTCCCCCCAAACCTGGCCGACACCTCGAGCGCCGCGCTCGACGGGACCGCCGTGCGGGGAGCCGCCCGCGGACGCAGGAGGAGGAGGAGGAGGAGGAGGAGGAGGAGGAGGAGGAGGAGGAGGAGGAGGAGGAGAAAAAGGAGGAGGAGGAGGAGAAGAAAAGGAGGAGGAGGAGGAGGAGGAGGTGTGCCCGTGCGTTCCTGGGCCGCCGAGATTCGCACATCGCGCCCCGCGACGCGCGAGGGCGCGATGGTCTGCGCGCCCTCGCGCCCGCCCGCCGCCCCCCCCGGGCCACGAGGCGCGAAGCGCGGTCATCTTCGCGCCCCTGGGGGGCGGCCTGCGGTCGGGCGCTGTTGCTCCGCGCGCCGCGCCGGAGGCCGCAGGCACGCGCCGTGCCTTGCGCCTCTCCGCGGGGTGGACTGAGTTCAGAGCTCTAGCTGCTTCAGCCGAATGCGCCTGATGATTTTGAATCGATGATGTGTGCTTACAAGCTCTTTAGCTATGCTACAGCTCGAGTTAAGTACAGAACATCGACGGCGCCTGTTAAGAGAACTCGAAAAACACGAACAGTTTCGCGAACCAGGCTCGAGTAGCAGACTAAGACCTCTAGATGCATGGGCTGGGGCATGCTCGGGGCTGCTGACGCCTGGGCTGCGGGGCAGTGGATCGCGCGTCGCGCCGAGGCGTGGTGGGCCGGCGCTGGCGGTGCGACGCGCCGCCAGGCCAAAGTCTCTGGCCGTGGGGTTCAGGCTCGGGTGCTCGCTTGAGCGACGAAGAGAAGCGGGCCTCGCGCGCGAGGAGACATGGACAGCATCGATCGCGACTTCACGCCGCGGCTTGCGCGGTGGGCCACCGTGGCGCACCGCGTGGAGTGGGCCTCCACGCGCAACCTCGCGCGGGAATCTTGCGCGCGAGTGCCCGCGCAGTCGACCCCCGTTTCTTCAGTCGCTCAAGTGAAGTCGCCTGTCCTCAACATCGTGTGCGTCCCGGCCGCTCCACGGTAGCGCCAACACCAAAACCGCTTCCGCCGGCCTCAGCCGAGCTTCCGACGGCCTCCGCTTCGGGCGGAGCCGCCTCCGACTTGCTTCCAGGGCAGCCTCCAGTGGCCTTCAGCCGAGCTCCTGCCGAGGGCGACCCCCGCAGAAGCAGCAACAAAGACACACAAACATCAACTTCCATAGAGGAACAAGAGACGGCATAAGCATATCGCTAGACTCTCTCGGCGGTCGGTGCGGATTTCTTGGATCGGCGCTGCGCCCCCCTCCATGCCGCGCGGAGCACGCCAGGGGCGGCGCTGGAGGCCCCGCCAGGGGGGGCCCACGCCGACCCAGGAAATCCGCACGGACCTGCGAGGAAAGATGTTTACATGTCGCCGCGCCGCTCGTCCTCGACGCGCCCCAAATGGACGACGCCGGCACCACGGCAAACCCACCACGGCAAGCCCAGCGTCCCGCGCCACGGCAAACGACACCGGCGCCGCGGCAAAGCCCACGGCAAACTCGCCGCGCCCGAGGCGGCGTCTGCCCCGGTGCCCGCGGCGTCCGCCCCAAGACGCCAGGCCGCGCGTCGGAGCAAACGGCTCGGCGACATGTGCCGTTTCGTCCTCTCTTCTTCTTCTGATTATTCTTTGTTTTCTTACTATTATTCTTATTATTCTTATTTGTTGTTTCCTTGTTGTTTTCTTATTAATATTATGATGCGTATTCTTCTTATTCATATTATTATTTGTGCCATTATTATTGTTATCCTTCTTCTTCTTCTTCTTCTTATTCTTCTTCTTCTCCTTTGACTCCAAGCGTGGCCGCCGCCAGCCTGCCGCCGAGCTCCCGCCGAGGGCGAGGCGTCCGCCTCTCCAGGAGTCTCCGGGAGGTTCCTGCTGCGCCGCGCCTGCCGCGCCAGGCCCTCTGCGCCGCGGCCTTCCCCTGCCCCCGACGCCCACCTTCGAGCCCGCGGCGTGGTCAGCAGGCCCGAGCACGGGTTCGGCAGGCAGGAGAGGGCACGCCGAATAGTCATCCTCCGGCTCCTCTTCTTCTTCTTCTTATCATCATTATAATTATTACAAGTATCATTCGTATTATTAGCATTCGTATTATTAGTAGTATTAGTATTACTAGTATTATTATAAGTATTATTAATATATTTCTGGATAACTTTCTTAATATTATGTTCCTCCTTCTTATTATAATTCTTACGTCGTACTCGTCCTCCTCCTCCTCCTCCTCCTCCTCCTCCTCCTTTTCCTCCCCCCCTCCTCCTCCTCCCCCTCCTCCTCCTCCCCTCCTCCTCCTCCTCCTCCTCCTCCTCCTCCTCCTCCTCCTCCTGCTGCTGCTCCTCCTCCTCCTCCTCCTCCTCCTCCACCCCCTCCCCCTCCTCCTCACCCTGCCCCTGCTCCTTCTCGCCGATCATGCAGCGCAGGCAGCCCGACGCTATTTACGCACCCGCAGCCAGGCCAGAACGGTGGTGTACATTAAAAGAAAACTCTAGTTGGCGGATGGCCCTGGCCTGGCAAGCAATGTGGCGCGTCTGCCCGTTTGGGTAAGCCGCGGGCAGCAGCTGCGCTCCCTTGGTGGGCAGCCTTTGGGTCGAGGGGGCGAGCGGCCCTCTGCGCGGCTGGTTCGGCTATACGCAGGGGTGGACCTTTCGCCGGAGTGATCCCTGGTGCGGGCACACTGGGGCCCCCAAATGAGCGCCAGCAGAACAGGTCTTACGCGAGCTGGCGTAGCCAGCTTACGCGGTGGCTTACGCGGGTCGCCAGCGCGGCACGCCATATTGGAAACGAGGGCGCTTGCGCGCGACATTACGCGGGCAACTTACGCGCCAGTGTCGGTGAAGACGCACCCGCCTTCTGCGTCGCTCAGATGGCCGACTGCGATGCGACAGCAGCAGCTTGCGCGCTCCAGTTCGGCCTCCCCGCGGCCCCCGAAAGTCGCGCACCAAAGGGTCGCTCTTGTCCAGGGTCACTCGTGCGTGTAGCCGGACGGTGCGGCCCTCACAGAAAGCCCGGGTAAAACCCGCCCCGAGCCCTCGACCGCGCGGGCCTTGCCCAAGCGGACGTGCCGCCAAGCAGCCCGGGCGAGGATTGCCACTTGCCAAGTGCGCCGGGTTGAAAAAAGTGTACTCTATCTGAGGCGCATCAACTCGGAATGCGAATGCGCAAGCGCCACAGGCCCACGACAGCATCGCAGGCGCCTCTCACAACTATACGGGCTTGCTCACAGCCGCCGCACAGGCCTACGCCCAAATCAAGGCGCATCAGAGGCCTGCGCTGGCCGCTCGGCTCACAGGTAACCGGGGGCACCCTCGCGCATGGCGCTGTCGCCTTCCACGGCGGCGCCCGCAAACAACGGGCCTGGCGGCGGCGGCCCGCGAGGAGACAGGCCCGTGGTCTTCAGGTCCGGGTCCAGCAGCTCCACGCTGCGGGCAGGGTCGTCCTGCAGCGTAATCAGCTCCTCCACGGAGAGCTGCTCCAGCCGCTGCTTCATGTAGCTGGGCAGCGGGCCGCCGTCGTAGAGGGTCAACAGAGACTTCTTCAGGCGCTCAATCAGCCAACTCCTCGGGTAGACCGTGCGCCAGTCCAGTATCTCCTCCGCGAAGAAGGCATGGTGCTTCACGCCCGCAACAGTGCCGCGCTGCTCCGGCAGCTCGTGAGTAAGCAAGCGCACGAGGTCCAGCGCCCGCTCCCACTGTCGCCGCTCCGCCTCGCTGCTCTCCAGCGCGGAGTCTGGGAAGCGAGCGGGCGCTCTGCTCGAGGGCATGGCGGCGTCGGGGCCGCGGCGCCCCACCCTCGGGGAGTTTGGTGGCCGCTGCGGCCGCGCCTGCCGGCGCACGCCGCGCGGGGCCCGCGAGAACAAGACCGTGTTGCCGTGCAAGTTGACCTCGAGCCGGTGAGACGCACGCGTGGGCTGGAGGAGGCGGTGGGAGGCCCAGTAGAAGTCGAAAGCCAGGCTCGAGACCACTGCGCGAAGGTCGCTGGCCGTCTCTGGGGGCAGCCTTCGCTCGTAGGGCGCCTCCCGGCTGTTGTGGTATACCTCGCCGCCCATCAGCAGCATCAGCAGCAGTACGCCGAAGGAATACATGTCCGCCGCGAACCCGTGCACCTCCCGCCTCGGGTTCACCTCGGGGGCTGCGTAGCCGAAGGAGCCGCAGAACGTCTTGGTGAACGCGGCGTAGACCCCGCCAGCCCGCTCCGCCTCCGCGATCGCGTCCCTGCCGCCCATGTGCTGCTTGGCCAGCCCAAAATCGGTCAGCTTCGCATGGCCGTCCACGCCCAGGACGACGTTCTCCAGCTTCAGGTCCCTGAAGACGATGCCTCGTGCGTGGAGGTGCTCGAGAGCCAAGGCTACCTCCGACGAGATCTTCAGGGTCCGGCTCAGCGTAAGTCCAGGGGACCCCTCGTTGACGAGCAGCTGCTGAAGGTCTCCGTTCGGACAGTACTCCATGACCATGACCCAATCCCGTACATTCTCGAAGGTGTGGACCAGCTTCACCACAAAAGGGTGGTCCCTGGCAAAATGTAGCATGGCCGTCTCTCGGATCGCCGTGTCCGCCATTCGCCTCCGAAGGTAGAACTCCTTCGACAGCAGCTTCATGGCGAATATCTCCTGCGTGGCACGCAGGCGCACCTGGAAAACCTTGCCGAACTCCCCCTGGCCGATCAAGCCGAGCGTCTCGAAGTCCTCCATCCGCAGCTGCCTGTCGGCGCCACTGGGCGCCAGCCCAGAGCCGCCAGCGGCGGCCACCAGCGACCACACCGGAGGGGCCCGCTCGCAGGCCGCCACGAGAAGCAGGTGCGCGAGGCCGAGGGCTGGCGGCCAGAAGTCCTTCTCCTCCCTCGGGGGCTCCCTCCTCGCGGGGGCGCCACTTGCCGGAGGCGCAGGGCGCACAGCCACCAGCCTCCCCGCCGCCCGGCGCCCCCCGCTCTGCGGGCCGCGCCGTCGAGAGGCCATCCAGGCGTAGTGCACAAGGAGCGACATCGCCCAGCCCAGCGTCGCCCTCCTCTGGTACAAGGTCCGCCACTCGGTGGTCACTCCAGCCAGGGGCCCAGCGGGAGACTGAATCGCGGTCGCCTCCTCTTCCAGGAGGAAGCTGGCGGTGGCGGCGCTGAGGACCATGGCAAGCTCGATGGCCCGTAGGCCGCACACGAGGCAGGCCGCGTTCTGTGCCGCGACGGCATGCTGTGGGGAGTCCACAAACTGCGGCAGGTTTGCAAAGAGCAGCGGCCAGGCCAGCACCGCCGCCGCGAAGAGGTGCCCGACGCGCGCCTCGTTGGGAGATGACAAGATCAGCACGGCGATGCCGGCCGCGTAGGTGATCAGCAAGTACCCCGACAGGAAGCGGAGGCCGAGCAGCGCGGCCAGAGCGGCCAGCAGCGCCGACTTTCCCGCCACCTCGCTCGCGCGGAAGGCGAGATGTGCCAAGAGGAGGCCCCAGGTTCGGATGCCTCTCGAGGTCCGCCTGCCAGGCCAACCGTACATGTCCTGGGACAGCTTGAGGGATACCGTGCCGTCCCACTTCGCCAGGCCAGCGGTCACAGTGGCGAGGGAGGTGGCGACGCAGACGACGAGCCGTGCCTCGAGTGAAAAAAAGAACGGCTCCGCCTCGGGCCCTACGTGGCCGAGGATGAGGGCCATCCGGAGGTATAACGCCGTCAACACGAAGACCAGCCCCTCGACGACGACGTCAAGGGGAGCCGGGCGCAGCGGCAGACGCCTCGTCTCCTGAGTCTCCTGGGAAACCCACCACGCCGCCACGGCGTCGCACAGCTGCGCCACCTGCATTAGCGGGGTAACGACGCCCACGAGCAGTGCCACGGCAGGCGCCGTGCCGCGCGGCATGCGCGAGACGGTGCAGCAGCACAGGGCGTGGCTCCCCCGCAGGCTCGCGCCAACGTGCACCGCCGCGAGCACCGCGAAGTACGTCCTGGGTGGTAAAGGCCAGGGGCTGCGCACAGACACCCCTGGGAAAAACGGTGAGGGCACTGGATAAGGATCCATTGGATGAGGAGTCCAGGGTCTGGATGCTGGTGGAACAATCTAGCAACTGAGGCTTGCCCACGGATATCAGCGCCGCCCTCATCAGATCAGGAATCCTCCAGGGTCTGGAGCATCCTGGGAAGGTTCCATGACGAGCGCGCCCCCACCGCAGTCAAGGCCGGCCTCAACAGGTCCCCAGGGCAGTCTCGGGCGGCCTCACCACCCCACCCCTGGAGAACGGCGAGCCCTGCGGGCGCCGCCGAAGGCGGCGCGGGGGTGTTGAGACCGCCACCCTGGAGGAACGAAAAACCGCATGCACATAAAGCATAAACCTTCTCCAGAGGTCCCCACGGAGCTCCGAACATGTGCACTTCTGCATGGTTTTGCTCCTCGACCCTCTGGGGCCTGCTGAGGCCAGCCCGGACTACCTCCGAGGGCGCTCTGTGCGCGGCCTTGCCCTGGCCCTGCCGGTCCTGAGGCCCTTCTCCCGGCCGAGGCAGGCGAGCAGCGTGAACTTGGCGACGTAGTCCACCGTGTGGAGCACGAGGAAAAATAGGCTCAAAGCCTTTCGGACATGCACACGACCGATCCCGACCCCGACCGTGGACAGGCCCCAGGCCCAAGCCCCGATCCCGGCCCGCGCCGGCGCCCAGTCCGCCCCGGACCGCCGTGCTCCCGCGGGTCGATCGGGGCCTGGGCCCGTCTCAGGGGGAAGCCTCCCCTCCGCATCCACCTCCTGCGGCGCCTCCTCCTCCCAGCCCTCCCCCTCTCTGCCCCCCTTCCTGCTCCTCCTCCTCGTCCTCGTCCTATCTGCAGGTTCCCCATACCCGTCAGGTGTCGCGTAAACAGCGCTACGCTGGTCTGCGGAGGGGACCCCTGCTTCACGAGAAGCTGGTTTAAACATTTCAGGTTGCCATGCCGCTCACGGATCCCACGAGGCCATCAACAGCCTCCCTCAGCCTCAAAGGAGCACTGGTATGGCAAACCTTGACGCCGACGCGTTAGCTAAGCAAGCCCGCCTCCTCCACCCTCAACCTGCTCAGGCCGAGACTGATATGATGAATGAATAGCTTAGACTTCGTGGCCCGAGTCATGGCCAAAGTTCTGTGCGCTCTCCCATTGGGGAACTTTGATCGGTGTGCGCTCGGGCCTAGGTTTAAGTTCCTCAAGTCTTCCTTGTGGCACCACTGGGAGAAGCTGGAGGAGGCCCGCGCTGATTGCAGTTTTGGGGCGACCCTGGGACACTCCCAACGGTAGGATGCACAAGCTCCAACAAAACTTGGAATGGACCGCACGTTGGCCCACACCACGGTCTCTCGTCGAAACCTAGATCACCCTGCGAAGGATTTTTGATGGTTTGCGCCCTCACTATGGAGACAGGGCGGCTCGCGTCTCGCTGTCCTGTCGCAGAGGGGCCAACTATACGTGCTATGCTGAGACTACCCGTCCTCCTCCAGAAATTGCGGTCCAGACGCCTGGGATGCTTGCAATGTTGTCCCGCATCCAGGCGAGAGATGCTGCCCAGTGCAAGGCCTCTTCCAGTTTTGCCTGACTGTAGCCACATGGCACCTGCCTACAGGCTCGAAAAGGAACAAATCAACGCCCAAACAATCTCCTCCAAGCTCCCCCAGTCCTCCTCCTCCTCCTCCGCCTCCTGCTGCTCCTCCTCCTCCTCCGCCTTCTCCTGGCACCTGTGCCGCTGGGTGCCCTCGTGGCGTCCCAGGAAAACAGGCGGGTTGGCAGCCCGACCGTCACCACAGCTCGACGGGGCTGTGGGAGAGATTCTTGCCCTGTGGTTGGCCAGCCACAGTAGGTGCGGGCCCGCCGTACCACCCCTGAGAGGCCCGATGGGGTTACTCGAAGGGGTCCCCCGACGTGGGGGGCGCGGGAACTTAAGTCCTTGGGCAGCGGGGCCTCCGCTGCTTGAGGCTGGCGGCCAAGTGGGGGTGGTGCCGGTGGCCGTGTCTCGGGGTGGCATCTCGAGACACCTCGCAACGGCGGCGCGGATAACGCCTGGGGCGGGTCCGTGCCGCCGTTCGTGTTGCGAGGTCCGACTGCATGTGAATTCATGCAGGCACCTTGGGCACCTCCCTTCGGGTTGTGTCGCCCAGGTGTTCTGTCCGGGCAAAAAAATCCTCCGCCTTCTCCTACTCGTCATCCTCCCTCGCCCACCCAAACATCTCGTCCCCGTCGCTCCTCCAAACGTATCAGCATGGCGGTTCAGGCGTGCGCCTCGCACAATATTAAACGCTTCCAATATCCAGAATGATTAACTCTGTCATCCTTTTAAAAAGGAAAACTGCACAGACATGAACTTTCGGAGGTCCGCCCGTACCTCCGATATCTTGTATCTATGTATGTGCATGTTTCGTTCTTCGAGTCCTACCTCTTCGCAGTTCCCATCTGGAAAAGAGCGCAGTGCAGTCCAGACTTATAATGACGGGACCCTCGCTTGCATGGGCAGGCCCATGGAGCGCTCGTCTCCCCAGGGGGACGCTGCTGGTAGTAACGAGAAACGCCCGCAAGTGCCCATGCGAAGGGGGGCTTGGGCCGGGATCTGGCGGCGCGCACGGAGGGGACGGCTTCCTGGAAGGAGGCTGCTTCTCAGAAGGCGCTGGCGCTACATCTATAGACAAGGCCCGGAAGCCTTCCCCCCTCTCCCTACCCCCCTCTGCGCGTGGCCGAGGGATGGTGCGCTGCAGCATCCTTGACGCCAGTCCTCCCACCTGGCCCTCCCCGTCCTCCTTCTCCTCCTCCTCCTCCTCCTCCTCCTCCTCCTCCTCCTTCTCCTCCACCTCCTGCCCCAGACATCCCATGTGTTGATATTACAAATCGGGGGCCCCAGAAGTCCCGACCCTTTCTCCCATGCCGATTTTCAACCCGAGGCCTGGTCAGGGACCCCGAAAGGTCAAAAACAGGCAAAAATCTGCCGCCGTGACTTCTGCACGACGCAACCATGTCTGGGCCTCCTCCCCCTTCCCCCCGCCCGCCCTCCCTCCTCCACCCCCATCCCTCCCACCACCCCTCCTTCCTTCCCCCATCCTCCTCTACCCCCCTCCTGCACTTGGACACGATACGCCGACCCTGTCGGCGTGTGTGAGGGGTTTTTCCGTTCGGCTAGTCCTCTCCGTCATTCGTTTTCCGACACCATCGCCCCTCAGCAAAATTCGGAAACGTCGTCGCTCGAGTCGTCCTCTTCGTCATTCGTTCGTTCTCCGACAAGACCGCCCCTCAGCAAGATTCTGAAACGTCGTCTGAACATCCCCTTCCCGTCAGCAGGGCCCCCCCGTCAGCAGGAAGCCCCTTCCCTTATTCCCTCCCCCGCCGGGAGGGGGGGGGTCCCAGGGGGGTGGGGGGGGGGCCAGGGGGCTGCGCCCGGGTCAAATACGACGGCCTGCCTCCCTGCGGCGACCCAACAAAAGCATGCGAGTACCGAAGAGGCTTCCAAGACAGCCCACGAGCGTTTCAAGATGCCCACGATGGCTCCAAGACGGCCCAAGACTTTTCCAAGAGGCTTCAAACGCCTTCCAAGAGGACCTCGACATGGCCGGGAAGAAAATAAAAAAAGATTATCCAATTGCTTTTCAATGTTTTTTGGGTGGGTGCTTTGTCTACATTCCGACGCTCCAGAACAGCGCAACAGGCCCCTAAGAGCGCCCCAAGACGGCCCAGAGGCTTCCAAGAAAGCCCCACGACTCCCCAAGAGTGCTCCAAACCACTCCCATAAGCGCCCACGAGGGCTCCAAGATGGCCCCAAGAGAGGCTCATGAGAGGAAACGCGACCCGAAAATCCGAGCCTTCCGCCCGAAGAAGCCCCCAGAGGCCCCAAAAGGCCTCCAAGAGGCCCCAAAAGTTCCCCGAGAGGCCCCCGAGAGGCCCCTAGAGGCGCCAAGAAGCAGAACAAAAACGCCCCCAGAAGGCGCTACGACGGTTGACGAGGCTTCGACACTGCCTCCTTCGAACCATTTGTACGCTGATTCTATATGTTTCCTTGCGTACGCCGACCCCGTCCCCCATCGAAACATCCGCCAGATCCTCTGCCACCCAGTCCCAAACCTCACCCCGAGTCCGCCCGACGATCAGTTCCTCGAACGAAGTGCGTCAGATAATACTACAAGTGCGTCCTTATCGTCCTCTTATTCCTCCGCCCCGCATTCACAGTCCCCCCCCCCACTGACCATTGTCCTCCCCCCGACTCCCTCCTTTCCCGCCTCCCCCAATGCTCCTCCGCACCCTCCTGCTCCTCACGTCTCATGCTCCAAGGCATCCACGTCATCCTCCTTCTGCCCTTCCCGCTCTTCCCCCTCCAACACTTTGTCCTCTGCCGCATCCCACTCCTTCGCATCCTCATCCTCCTGACCATCCTCCTCGTCCTGCTTTCCCCCTCTGCCGCGTGATCTTACACCCGAGCTCCGCAACATCACCTGAACCTTTTCACCCCCATACCCATCCTCCTCCTCCAGCACCTCCTCCTCCCCTCCTCCACACCCTGCTCTCCTCCGACTGCTCCCCCTCGTCCTCCTACTGCTAACTCCCCCCCCAAGCCCCCCCCCTGCCCCTTCTCGCCCTCCTCATCCTCCTGCGCATCCTGCTCCTTCTCCTGCTGCTCCACCGCGTCCTCCACGTCCTCCCCCTGCCCCTCCTGCTCTTCATCTTCCTATTCCTTCACGTCGTTTTCTTCGTCCTCGTCGTCATCGTCTTCAGGGTCGGCGGCACCAGCCGCAAAGCTTGCGCAATATTCGAATCCTCAAACACTTGAGGGGGATGTTCATGACACACCCGCCCCCGAAATCAATGCTCATTTTAGTACGCGTGGTAGTCTGGGATTTCGGATATATCTGTCCACCCACGCCCTCTCCATT